CAGTGACCGTCGTCCGTCTCAGGAGGGAGCTGCTGTCCCCGTTCGGATCTGGGCAGCTGGGGCGGCCCGGAGGTCGGAGCTCGGCTGCGGCCCTCGGGGCTTGCGCCGGGCGCCCGTGGGGCCCATGTGGAGACAGGGGACGTGCGAGGAGCTGGAGGGGAGGCCTCGCTGGCCTCGGCGCTGGGGAGCTGGACGGTGCTGAGCGGGGCCCCCGCCGCTGCTTGGCTGTGCTGCTGGCTGCTCCCTGCTTGGCCGCGGGCTGGCGGGGGGCACGGGGGCGGGCGGCCGCCGCGTAACCCGGTGCCTCTCGTGCCAGCCATGTACTCGGTTGAGATCACGGTGGAGAAGGACAAGGTGACGGGGGAGACCAGGGTGCTGTCCAGCTCCACCCTGCCCCCTCGGGGGCCGCTCCCCCAGGGCATCAAAGTCTACGAGGACGAGACCAAAGGTACGAGCCCCAGTCCCGGCCCCCGCCCGTGGTCTGCGGGGAGCTGCCCTCTGCGCCAGGGAATTCGTCCATGTAGCGGCTTTTGAGAGGAGGCTGCAGGAGACGTGGGAGACGAGGCCCGAGCGGGTCTCACGGGGTGCGACGCTTGGGTGCAGGGGACGAGGTGCTGGGGCGGGGAGGAGCTGGGGGGTCTGGAGGCGCAGCAGGGGTGGCGTGAGGTGGGCGGAGCCGGCTTCGCAGCTGAGAGCCGGTGTAAGCGCTCCCTCTGGTGGCCGGCATGAGAAGACGCCGTGGGCGGACAAGGGCGGCTTTGGGCAGAAGCCCCAGGGTCAACCTCTTTTCCCCTTATTTTAAGATTTATTTATTTGAAAATCAGAGAGAGAGAGAGAGACAGAGAGCTTCCATCTGCTGGTTCATCTCCCAGATGCCACGGCAGCCAGGGCTGGGCCAGGCTGAAGCCAGGAGCCAGGGGCTCCATCCGGGTCTCCCCATGGGTGCAGGGGCCCAGGACTTGGGCATCGTCCACTGCTTTCCCAGGCCACAGCAGGGAGCTGGGTTGGAAGTGGAGCAGCCGGGACTCGAACCCGCGCCCACGTGGGAGGCCGCCACTGCAGGCGGCTTTAACCTGTCACACCGCAGCACCAGACCCCCCCCCCCCCCATGAAATGCACTCCTTTGAAGAGTACAGTCCACTGGGCTTTGATACGTTCACGATGTCCCAAGCATTCCTCATCTCTATCCAGTCCACCACCCCAAAGGACGCCCTGCCCCTGCCCCAGCCCTGCCGGCCGCTGCTGTCCCCGTGGAGCCCCTGTCCCGAACGTTTCCCGTGGGTGGAGCCCACGCGTGTGGCCTCTGTGTCAGCGTCTCCGTGGGTGTGGCGGTGCCAGAGCCCGGCCTCTGCTCGCGGCTGCTCCCCGTGACGTGGCCGTGTGTGCACACACAGCTGCAGGGCCGGGGCTGTTCCTCTTCACCTGGGCACACACCTGGGCACACACTGGGCGTGGGAAGGGTGAGGGTCCGGGCTACACCCCCTGCTGCGTCACTTACTCCGCTGGCCATGGGGGGTGGCGTCGTCCCATGGGGTTTTGCTCCCCGAACCTCACGTTTTTAGGGGGCTCCCCCCGGTGCCCTCTCTCCAGGACAGGACCCTCCCCTTGGCCGCTCCGCCCCGCTGGCCTGACTGGACTGTGGTTGCTTAGCAACGGAAGGCAATCTGAGGCTCGGATTCCGAAGCTGGGCCAGCGGCCAGGGGGAAACGCTGCCTGACTCCGTGTGACCCAGGCACGCCCGCCACTCCCCAGGGGTGGGGCTGACAGTGGCCAGGGACAGGCAGCCTGACCGTTGCTCCCGAGGAGCCGTGTCCTCCTCTCTCTCCCGGAGGGTGCGGGCTGTGGCCGAGGGCGGACCTGGGAGAGCGCTGGGGTCACGGGTCACGGGCATCAGGGCGCCCGGGCTGCGGGGAGGGCGAGCCCCTCCCTGATCCTCGACCACGGCCCCCATTCCTCAAAGTTCAAAACACTCTATTTGAAAGACGCCTTGGCCTAGGTGCTAGTTGACCCCAGTGAAACACAGAGCAGTAAAATCTCACCTGGGTGCAGCCAAGGCAGGGCTCAGAGGCGCGCGGATAGCCTCGGGCACAGACGGGGAAAACGAGATGAGTGGGGCTTCGGGAGCAGCCGGGGGGTCCGGTCCCTGCAGCCCCTGCCCTCCGTTGCCCGCGAGGGGACAGGGCTGCATGGCACGCCCTGGCCAGCTGTGGGACCCCGCCGGCCCCTCCTCTGAGTGTCTGTTCTCGCTCCCTGTGCCGTGGACAAGCACGGGGAGGAACAGGCCCGTCCACAGGGGCCCTGTGCAAGGCAGTGGGTCGGGACACTGGGGCCCCCATGTCCACCCCGCCCATCCTCTGCGTTCGGCTGTCGCCCCGCCACACCAATGTGGGGAGTGGCTGTCACTCAAGCTGAGGTCGCAGCCCCCCCCAGCAGCTGTCACTCAAGCTGAGGTCGCAGCCCCCCCCAGCAGCTGTCACTCAAGCTGAGGTCGCAGCCCCCCCCCAGCAGCTGTCACTCAAGCTCTCGCACTCTCCCCCCCCCCCCTGTGCAGTGGTCCACGCTGTGGATGGCACCGCTGAGAACGGGATCCACCCACTGAGCTCCTCCGAGGTGGACGAACTCATCCACAAAGCAGACGAGGCCGCGCTGAGCGAGGCGGGGTCCGTGGCGGGGGCCGCAGAGACCCGGGGGGCCACAGAGGAGGCGGCGCAGAGCACGCCGTCCCGGCGGGAGATCACCGGGGTGCAGGCGCAGCCAGGCGAGGCCACGTCCGGCCCTCCGGGCGCCCAGCCCGGCCAGGAACCCCCGGTCACCATGATCTTCATGGGCTACCAGAACGTGGAGGACGAGGCTGAGACCAAGAAGGTGCTGGGGTTGCAAGACAGCATCACCGCCGAGCTGGTGGTCATCGGCGACGCCGCTGAGCCCGCTCCGCCCAACGGCAGCGCTGCGGAGCCGCCGGCCGCCGCCGGCCCCGGCGAGGAGAGCCAGGCGGCGCCCGAGACCCCCGCCAGCGACCCCCAGGACCTCGACATGAAGAAGCAGCGATGCAGATGCTGCTCCATCATGTAAGCCGCCCGGCCCGGCCCCCGGCCCCGGCCCCCGCCCTCCCACCCAGACCCCACCAGCCCGGCCCGCCCGGCCCCTGCCCCTCGCGGGGGAGGGGGCAGGGGCCCCGCCCGTCACACCTGACACGCGCCCCAACCACTGCCCCGTGCACCTGCACCTGGGAGGAGGCGGGACAGGCCCGCCCTGGCGGCTTCACAGACGTGGCTCCCCACCGGGTCCCCCACCTGTGCCTTTCTGCCACCCCTGAGCGGTCTGGGGGCTCCCCAGCAGAGGCACTGGCCCCCCAACCCAGGGCATTGGGGTGAGGCCGTGGCTCTTCGGTGGCTCTGGGTCTTGGAATGCAGGGTGGACCCTGGTGGACACCCCCAGCCTGCTGGGCCCCCCCACTCTCTCTGGGCCTGGCCAGTGCACAGTGGGGCTGAGGGCATGGGGGAGCCCCCCAGAGGGTCTGCAGCCCCCAGGCTGCCTTCCAGATGGGCAGGCCCCTGCACAAGGCAGGGACCACGCAAGCTCCCGCCCCATGGGACCGCCCCTCCCTCCTGGTGCTAATTTGGAGACCCCGGGGGGGCTGCGCTGGTCATTCCTTCATTGCTTGGACCAGGGTCCTGGGCCCCACCCTGGGCCGTGCTGGGCTTAGAGTTTCTGGGCCGTGGGGGGGAGGGACCCACTCGCCCCCGCCCCTCCCCGCCCCTCCCTGGGGGCCGCGGCAGACACTCAGCTGTGCACAGCCACACCCGTCCTCAGAGGCACATTCATGGCCCTGCTCACCCCCTTATGCAGGCTGGCTGTGGACCACCAGGCCCCGGGCGCCGCCCACAGCCTGGGCAGGGCCTCGGTCCCAGGCTCAGCTGTGCTCCTCGGAGGCTGGGAGGAGGGGCCCTGTCTGGGGTGGCCCGGGGGGAGGCCGTGGGCCCCCACCTCTTGCTCCCAAGCCCGCCCCGGGCCCCTCGAGCCCTGAGCCCGCCCTGCAGCGCCCTTGCGACCCCTTCTGCTTTGATGTGTGCGAGGCCCTGCTGTTCGTGACTTCCCAGAGACGCGAATAAACAGCGTGAACAGCCCTGGCTCCTGGCTTCTTGGGTCTCGGCGGGCTGGGGTGGGGCGGGGCGGGGCGCCGGCCGCCGGGGTGGGGCCTGCGGGGGCGCCGGCCGCTGGGGGTGGGGCCTGCGGGGCGCCGGCCGCCGGGGGTGGGGCCTGCGGGGTTGGCCATAAAACGGAGGCAGCAAGAGGCCCAGGCCAGGGACGTCCTCCTGCCTGCCGCCGCTCAGCTCCGGAGCCCACCCGGCCGCTGTGGGCAGTAGGTGCTGCAGCCCCACCCACACCTGTGCCTCGGACAGCACCTGGGCAGGTAAGGCCTGGAGCCGGGGGGCAGGGTGCTGCCCCTGCCTGGGCCCGGGCTCGGTTCTCGTGCCCTGGGGAAGAGGGTCCCTGTGGTGCCCCACATGTGCTGTGGGGGGCGGGGGGCTCAGGGGAGGGGGCAGCCCACCCCCACCCCAGGCGGTGCCCCTGGTGAGCTGGGTGTCGTGTCCCCATCTGTGGAATGAGCACCCTGAGCCCTGAGCCCTGGCCCGGGAGGAAGGACGTGGGGACCTAGGCCCACCGCAGACGTCCGGGGTCCCACGCCCATAGCCCCCGGTGCTCGGACGGAGCCTCTGGCCTGGGCCCTCCAAGCCCCCGTCCTGGCCGCCCACTGCGGGCAGAAGAGACGGGTTCAGAGGGGCAGGGTGGGGCCGGGTCTTTCGGGTCTCTCTGGTGCCATCCAGCCCCTCAAGGGCGCGCCTGCCGTGGCTCTCGGGGAGGTCAGCGGGATTCGAACCCGGGCCCGGCAGAACCCCCACCCAGTGGGGCATGCGGATTACTCAAGGAGGCCACCGGGGGCTGCGGCAGAGGGGGGCGGGGCTCGGGAGGCCTGTGGCCGGACTGGGCATCCTCTCCGGGAAGCGCGGGGGGAGGGGCAGCGCTGGAGCTTGGGGCAGCCACAGTGGGCACGGCGCCCGCCCTCTGCCCGGCCGGGTATCGCCTTTCCCCCTCCTCTGGACTTTGTCTCCTGCGCCCGGGCGGGGCTGGAGGGGCACACCTGCTCCCAGGTGGGGCCTCTGCCCTGGCAACCAGGCCCACAGGGCGGAGCTGGAGGCCTCAGCGGCCACGGGCAGGGCTGCAGAGAGGCCGGAGCCCACGGTAAGGCTGGGAGCGCCTGGGGGCCGGGCCGGGGGTCCCGCCTGGGGTCGGATCTGGGTGTTTGCGCCATGGGGCTGTAGGAGAGCCCCGTGCCCACCCTGTGCCCCTCTGAACATAGCTGGGGCCTTGGACTTGGGAGCCTAGGGGCCTGTGCCCCCAAGGGCCCTTGTCCCAGGCTCTGGGCCCCCAAGTCCCCAAACCCTACCCGCAAGGGAGGGGCCTGATGGGCGTCCCACAGCCAGAGGCCCCAGGGGTCCCCACCGGCTCTGGGAATTCGGGGTGGGAGAGAAACCGCGCTCTGGGAGGCTTTGGGCTGTGAACCCCCCCCTGGGGCCCCCGCGGCTGTCTTGGGGAATCAGGAGGGAGGCCTGGGGTCTGGGGTGTGCGAGGTTAGGGCGGGGGTGCAGGGGGCTTAGCCAGGAGCACCTCCCTGCTGCCTGCCCCAGCCCAGGGCCCTCCAGGGAGCCCCCGCCCGGCGGGCAGGCAGGGAGCCAGGCAGGGTGAGGCGGGCACAGGCGTGCGAGCCAGGGCCATAAACCCGGTTTCAGTCTGGTATCTCTGGGATGCGGGGTGGGGCCGCAGGGCAACCTGGGTGCTTCCCAGGAGGGAACTGAGAACCTGGGGCCGCGCCAAGGCCGTGTGACCCCCGGGGGGCTGCTCCCCGCCAGGTGGCCCGGGTGGGGACGCCGAGGCGGAGGGGTGTGTGCGGGTCACAGGCAGGTGGGCCACCTCGCCCTTGACCGCACCAGCGGGCCTGGGTGAATCACCCGGTGGAAGAGGAAGCCCCAAGGGTGGGCGGGGCAGGGAGGGGCCCTGTCCCCAGTGAATTCCAGCTCCTTCGTAAATCCTCTGGGCAAACTCCCTCCAGCTCCGCGCGGCTGCCTCATGGGTGGCGGGGGGGGGGGGGGGGGGAGTCCAGAGCGGCAGGGAGGGGCCCAGCCTCCCCCATCCCAGAGCTCACCGGGCAGAGTCCTGTTAGCTTAGCAGGTCCTGGTTAAGCACCTGCTGTATGCCGGGCTGGGGGTAGGGGTGCTCATCTGGAGCCTTGGGAAGAGGGGGTCCCAGAGAGCTGGCCCGTGCCGTGGTAGCCGGGCTGGGGCTGGGGGCTGCGTGTCCAGGGCCCCCAGACCGGGTCCAAGGCCGAGCTGGTCTGGGATTTGTCACCCAGCTGCTTGCTCTCGGTCTATTTACTTCCAGGACTATTCCATTTATTTAACAGGCAGAGAGAGGGAGAGGGAGCAACAGACACACAAGTTCCGTCCGCTGGGTCACGCCCCAGATGCCTGCGACAGCCAGGGCTGGGCCAGGCCGAAGCTGCAAGCCCCGAGCTCCAGCCGGGGCTCACAGGCACTTGGGCCGTCACCGCTGCTCCCGGCCGGCAGCAGGGAGCTGGACGGGACGGGGACGTGCGGGGCCCGCCACAGGCAGCGCGCCCAGTGCCAGTCCCCAGGGCCGCCTGCCCTCGTGTGTGACACCTTGCTCGTCCAGGAGGCTGCAGGCCACGGGCACCGTGTGGGTTCCATTGCTCCAGGCAGGGCCCCCCGGGGCCCAGGGAGAGGCTACGTTGTCCTTGTGGGCGCTCCTGGGGAAAAGCAGCAGGACCCCCAAAGCTCTGGGAGCCAGCGGCATCGAGCGCTGTCCCCCAGTGTCCACTGTGCGTCATCGAGACCAGACGCTCCTGGGCAGGCGCGCCCCGGGGGCCTCATGGAGGAGGCATCTCCTGGGCTCCACAAACAAAGCCGGGGTGGGGGCAGAATGTGGAGTGTGAGGGTCTGGTGGGGGCGTAACGCACCCTGGAGCCGCAGCAGGTGTGGGACCTACCGCCTGGGAGAGGGCAGGGACAAAGCCCAGCAGGACAAGGTTCGAGGCATTCCCCAGCCCATCCTGGCTTTCTGGGACGGGACGTTGGGCCAGGGTGGTGCAGGGCGTAGGTCAGGGTATGGGAGCCTGAAGCAGGCGTCCCCACCAGGGCCACCACCCCTGAATGCCAGGTGACCAGACGGCAGGGCAGGCAGCTGTGTGCCTGGGGAGGTGGGCGGGGGTCCCGGGCTGGGGCAGGCAGCTGTGTGCCTGGGGAGGTGGGCGGGGTCCCAGGCTGGGGCAGGCAGCTGTGTGCCTGGGGAGGTGGGTGGGGCCCCGGGCTGGGGCAGGCAGCTGTGTGCCTGGGGAGGTGGGCGGGGGTCCGGGGCTGGGGCAGGCAGCTGTGTGTCTGGGGAGGTGGGCGGGGCCCCGGGCTGGGGGTGTGCGAGGGCGTGGCTCCACACGGCAGGTGACGGGGTCTGGAGCGGGAATTTGCTGGGCCGAAGGTGTCAGCCACAGATGAGGCAAGCTGCCGGGCTGTTGGCGGGACTCCTGGGGACTCAGGTGCGGTTGGATCCAAGAGCTGAGCTGGGGTCAGCGTCGGGCTTACCCTAAAGCCGCTGCACCCCTGGGGGACCAGGCACAGCCCTCAGCGAGTCCCCGCCTCCAGCATCGGCATCGCAAGGTCCCAGAGTTCATGTTATTGGCCAGTCTGGGTCACTCATGTGTCCATGAACCAATCACAGAGGCCGCAGCAGGTGGAATGCTCTGATTGGCCAGTCTGGGCCATTTGGCCACCCCTAAGCCAATCACAGGAGCCACTTGGCTGAGGGCTCTGACCTGGGCGTGGTTTCCTTCCCCCTAGGGAAGCAGAGGTCTCCATCCCCTGGGAAGATGGCGGGGGCCAGGATGGACAGCGTGACCAGACACCCCATCTTCGGCATCCCCCGCGTCACGGGCCTGGCTCTGGACGAGGGTGCCAGCTACACCATCCAGCTGGTGGACGTGGGGCCCGAGGCCAGCGGCTGGAGCCAGGGTGAGCCACAGGCGTGGCCTAGGGACCACCAGGCCCAGCTGCAAGACACGGGCAGCAGAGGGGCGTCCTATGGCCTGCGGGCCTTCCCCGGCCAGCCTTCCCCACGGCCCCTCTATCTGGAGGAGGAGGAAGAGGAGGAGGAGCTGCGGGCCTACTACCTGGAGGCCAGGGGTGCCCGGCCCAGGCAGCTTCGGGACTTGGAGCAGGAGCGCTGGGCGGTGGTCCAGGACCAGGCGGTCAGAAGGAGCGGCACAGTGGCCACACTCCAAGGCACCCCGGACCACGGGGACCCCAGGCCCCCCGGCCGGCCTCCGACAGCACAGCAGGAGGACAGCTCCGTGGACAGGGAGCAGATCGACTTCCTGGCAGCCAGAGAGCAGTTCCTGAGCCTGGAGCAGGCCAACGCGGGGGTCCCGCGGACCCCCCTGCCCAGGGTCAGCACGGCCCCCAAGGCCCTGAATGGGCCCCTCCTGGCCAACGGGTATGTCCCTGGCCAGCCCCTCGCCAAGGAGGTGGTCCGAGAAGACCAGAGCATCCGTGGTTTGTCCAGCGGACCCCGGGCCCAAGGCACCGCCGGCGCCGGCCCGGGGTCCCTGGCGGAGTCCTCGGAGCCTCCCAAGGAGACGCCCATTGAGCGGGAGATCCGCCTGGCACAGGAGCGGGAGGCGGCCCTGCGCGCACAGAGGGGGCTGCAGCCGGCGGGGGGCCCGCAGGAGCTGGTGCAGGTCCCCTCCCGCCCACTGCTGACCAGCGTGAGCCTGAGCGAGGCCCCGCGGCGGGACCGGCGGCGCCCCTCGCTCTACGTCCAGCGGGACCTGGTGCAGGAGACGCAGCGCGAGGAGGATCACCGGCGCCAGGGCCGGCAGGCCGGCCGGGCGGCCACCCCGGACGAGCGGGGCGCGGACCACCGGGCCGGCCTGCGGCGGGTCCTCAGCTCGGATGCCATCCTCAGCCCCACCCCGGACGCCCGCGCGGCGGACCCCCCGCCGGAGGTGCGGAGGGTGAACCGCATCCCGCCCGACGCCTACCAGCCCTACCTGAACTCCGGGGGCCCCCCGCTGGAGTTTTCCGCCTTCGGGGTGCCGCGCAAGCCTGCCGGCCGCTCCTCGCAGGAGACCAAGGTTGTGGCCCCAACCATGACGCCGCCGGGCCCCGGGGCGCAGCGCACGGAACCGCCCGGACAACCCGGGCCCGCCGTGCGCTCCGAGTACTTCCTCCTGCGTCCGCTGCGGTTCCGGGCGCCCGAGGAGCCCCTGGCGTGGGGCCGGGAGGCCGAGACGCCCCCGGCCTGGCGGCTGCAGCGGTCCCAGTCGTCGGAGCTGCTGGAGCGTGAGGTGGAGCGCGTCCTGCGCCGCGAGCGGGAGGTGGAGCAGGAGCGGGACAGGGCGCGCGCCGCCGCTGGCCGCTCCCCGCCGGCGGACGAGCGCCGGGGCCCAGGCTCCAGGAGCTCCTCCTGGGCGTCCGGTGAGGAGGGGGAGCGGGTGGGCGGCCGCTCGGGCTCTGTCCGCTGGGGAGGCTCGGCGTCTGCAGCCTGTGCCCTTGGCCCTGGTCAGCCTCGCTGCCAGCCTCGGGCCGCCTGGCTCCCTGGCACCTTCCGCCCTGGCTGAGGCCCCCTCCTGCCCCTGCCCCGCCCCCCAGGCATCACCGGGAGCTACTCAGTGTCCGAGTCGCCCACAGTCTCCCCCGTCCACCTGCACTCGGACCTGGTGTGGACGGCCGAGGCGCCCGGGGACCAGGCTCCTCGGCAGAGAAGGAAGGAGTGGGTGAGTCCAGCCAGGCCCACTGGGAGCCATGTCCGCCCGCGGCCCCATCGGTGCAGAATATGGCCCCCTGGGCGGGGTCAAAGGCTAAAGGGCAGGAGGCAGTCCATCCCCATCACCGCATGTCTGTGCCTGTAGCCCCTCGGCGGTCACTCGTGCCCGTGGCCGTGCTGCCCAGAAACCCCACGCCAGCGACCAGCCACAGGCCACGCTGCTCCCTGGTAGGGTGTAGGGGCCTCTCCCGCCAGCGCCCGGGCATGGGGAGAGAGCAGCCACCACCTGCCAGCATGGCAGTGGTCCTGAGTCCAGGACCCCCGCACTCCGGGCAGAGCGCCCTGGGCAGGGGGCATGGCCACTGCTGCCCCGCCCAGTGACAGAGCCGACTGCGGGCCTGGGGCTGACCTCTGTGCTTCTCCCCAGTACGCAGGCATCAACCCTTCAGACGGCATCAACTCCGAGGTAAGCGTGCTCTGGCCAGTGCGCAAGTCCCTCCCTCCCCACCCGAGGCGGCAGGGCCGGGCCGCCCAGCCACGGAGTCCCTGGGTGGATTCTGCCGCGATCTGCTTGTGATGCCTGCCACGGCCACCGGCCACAGCTGGGGGTGCATAGGGGGTCCGTGGCCATCCCTGGGCTTGGGGATGAGGCCACGGCCCAGCCTAGGTCTGCAGCTTCCTTGCCCACACTCCCAGGAGTCAGGGGTCCCCTACGGAGGGCGGGAGGGTCCGGCTTCCCCCTGTTCCAGTCCGCTGGGCACTGAGCCTCCTCTTGTGCAGGTGCTGGGAGCCACGCGGGTGACCCGCCACAAGAACGCCCTGGCGGAGCGCTGGGAAGCCGGCATCTACGCCAGCGGGGACGAGGACTGAGCCTGGCCCGCCCCGCCCCGGGACGGCCCACCCTGGGAGTCAGCCCCGCCCCCCAGTACTGCCCACCCTGGGAGTCAGCCCCGCCCCAGGACTGCCCACCTGGGAGCCAGCCCCGCCCCAGGACTGCCCCCCTGGGAGTCAGCCCCACCCCAGGACTGCCCCCCTGGGAGTCAGCCCCGCCCCCAGGACTGCCCCCTGGGAGTCAGCCCCGCCCCAGGACTGCCCCCCTGGGAGTCTGCCCCACCCCCAGGACTGCCCACCCTGGGAGCCAGCCCCACCCCCAGGACTGCCCACCCTGGGGGTCAGTCCCACCCCAGGACTGCCCACCTGGGGGTCAGCCCCGCTCCCAGGACTGCCCACCTGGGAGTCAGCCCCGCCCCAGGACTGTCCACCTGGGAGCCAGCCCCCCCCCAGGACTGCCCACCTGGGAGTCAGCCCCGCCCCAGGACTGCCCACCTGGGAGTCAGCCCCACCCCCAGGACTGCCCACCCTGGGAGTCAGCCCCGCCCCGCGACTGCCCACCTGGGAGCCAGCCCCACCCCGGGACTGCCCACTGGGAGTCAGCCCCACCCCAGGACTGCCCACTGGGAGTCAGCCCTGCCCCCCGGACTGCCCACCTGGGAGTCAGCCCTGCCCCCCGGACTGCCCACCTGGGAGCCAGCCCCGCCCCGGGACTGCCCACCTGGGAGCCAGCCCCACCCCAGGACTGCCCCCCTGAGAGTCAGCCCCACCCCAGGACTGCCCACTGGGAGTCAGCCCTGCCCCCCGGACTGCCCACCTGGGAATCTGCCCCACCCCCAGGACTGCCCACCCTGGGAGCCAGCCCCACCCCCAGGACTGCCCACCCTGGGATTCAGCCCCGCCCCCCGGACTGCCCACCTGGGGATCAGCCCCGCCCCAGGACTGCCCACCTAGGAGTCAGCCCCGCCCCAGGACTGTCCACCTGGGAGCCAGCCCCCCCCCCCAGGACTGCCCACCTGGGAGTCAGCCCCGCCCCAGGACTGCCCACCTGGGAGTCAGCCCCACCCCCAGGACTGCCCACCCTGGGAGTCAGCCCCGCCCCGGGACTGCCCACCTGGGAGCCAGCCCCACCCCAGGACTGCCCACTGGGAGTCAGCCCCGCCCCCAGATGGCCCCCCTAGGAGCCAGCCCCACCCCAGGACTGCCCACTGGGAGTCAGCCCTGCCCCCCGGACTGCCCACCTGGGAGTCAGCCCTGCCCCCCGGACTGCCCACCTGGGAGTCAGCCCCACCCCAGGACTGCCCACTGGGAGTCAGCCCCGCCCCCAGATGGCCCCCCTAGGAGCCAGCCCCACCCCAGGACTGCCCACTGGGAGTCAGGGGCTGTTCACTCCTCGCGCTGTGCTCTAAGCCCTGGCCCCGGCGGGTGTGGCGTGGGCTGCGGTGGAGGGTCTGTCCCACTTATTTCCCAGGGGATTCTGCTGCTTTGGGGTCTGCAGGTGCTGGTGGTTCCAGGACTCTGCCAAACTCTCTGGGGTCCTTGTTCCTGCCAGTCTGAGGGTGGAGTCACAGTTCCAGAGAGCTTGGGGGGGCTGCAGGTTGTGGGGGGAACACTCACTCCCACTCTGACAGTCTGTGGGGGGAGACTGGCACCCCAAGCCTGCCGGGGGGGGCAGTGCTGCCCCCACGCCCCTTCCACAGGGCACCCAGAGCCTGGCATGGAGGAAGCCCCCTGGCCTGACAGAAGAAGGTCAGCTTGGGGCTGAAGGGGGCTCCTGTCCACCCCACACTGCCGGTGCACCTGCACCAAGAAATAAACTGGGAACCGCCAGCCCCGCCTCCTGTGCCTCCACCATCCGCCTGGCCCGTGTTTCTGGGTGACTTCAGGCCCCATCCCACTGGGCTGTGCGCCCCAAGTCGGGCTGAGGCCCCCACTGGGCGTTCCCGGCCTGCGCACACAGCAAGTGCTCGGCTGATGCCTGCCTGGGGGCTGAAAGGGCGCGAGGCCCTCAGGGGCTCCCCGACTCCCACCCCCGCCTGTCCACTGTTGAGCCCCCCCACGGAGTGGACCGTGTTCTCCCCAGGGGCAGGGGTGTGGGTGCCGGACGGCCCAGCACAGCCTGGCCTCGGCTCCCCCCGCAGAGCCTGGTGGAGGCAGCCGGGCCCCAGCACACGGGGCCATGGACGCACCACTGCCCAGGAGTGTCCCCGGGCCTCCTCGGCCCAAGCCAGGCTCAGGTGGGCCCTTGTACCCCAAACAGTGGGGGGACCAGGCTGTGGTGCGAGTGAGGGTCTTGAGCCCACCCGGAGCCCGCCCCCACCGCCTCCCCTTCCTCACATCACCAAGTCACCAAGCGGCTCCAGGCTGGAGATCAGGGCCCAGGTGGAGGTGACCTCCCCTCCCCCACGGCGACCTCACCCCACCTCACAGTGACAGCACCCCCACCGGCGGCTCCCCCCTCGGGCCTCCCCCCAACCCCGCGCCCCTGGCGGAGCTCCGGGGACCCCAAGGCAGCGCCCTGGGGGCTCCGCCCGAATGCCCGCACCATCCGCACGGTCATGGAGAGTGTGGCATACAGTAGGAGCCAACTCAGTGCTGGCTCGGAGGAGCCCAGGGGAGCGGCCACAGGGGGCGGGAGGGGGAGCGGGGGCGCAGCAGCCGGGGGCGGCCCCGGGCTCTGACCTGAGGAAGCAGGGAGCCACGGCGAGACCCCACCCCCCGCGGCCGCGGGTCGAGCAGGCGTGGGCACAGGTGCGCGATCCGGGCTCCCTGCGCTGGCTGTCACAGCCGCTCAGGCCCGGGGCTGAGGCTGACCGTGGCGGCCGCCAGCAGATGCCCAGAGCAGCCCGCGCTGGCTCCCAGAGCCCCTCCCCGCGCTGTCGTGGACTGACTCCCAGTGTCCACAGAACCAGGACGAAGTCCGCTTCCTGGGGCTGAGCCCCGCGCCGCAGGCTGGGCGCGTGGGAGGGCTCGCAGCAGCCGGGCCCAGCCGGATGACCTGATGGCCAAATGACGGACTGGGCAGGTCCGGCCGCCAGTGCGCAGAAGCCCGGTGTCTCCCACACCTGCTCCCCGATGGAGTGGCCTGGGAGGCGCCGGCCCAGAGGAGGAGGTCCCTGGCCAGACCCACAGAGGCAGCAGGCAGGGCGGTGCCCTGAGCCCCCAGCACCCAAACCTTTGCTGTTTCCTGCGGGGATTCAAGGCCTGTGGGATCTGACCATGCGGAGGGCAGAGGGTGGAGGGGGCCTCCCCCATACCCCTCGCAGGGCAGAGTGAACAACAGAGGGGGAGAGAGAGAGAGAGAGAGAGAGAGAGAGAGGGCTTCCATCTGCTGGTTCACTCCCCAGATGCCACAATGGCCCGTGCTGGGCCAGGCCAAAGCCAGGAGCTGGAAGCTGGGTCTCCCACGCGGGTGCAGGGACCCAAGCACTTGGGCCATCGTCCACTGCTTTCCCAGGCCACAGCAGAGAGCTGGATAGGAAGTGGAGCAGCCGGGACTCGAACCAGTGCCCATATGGGATGCCGGCACTGCAGACGGCAGATTAAGCAGCTGGATCACTGAAAGCACTTGTCTAATAAATAGAAAAACAGGATCTGGCCTGGGATTAAGACCCCAGCATCCCACAGGGGAGACCCTGGTTGAGGTCCCAGTTCTGCACCCAGTCCCCACCCCCAGCTCACAGGCACCCAGGAGACAGCAGTGACGGCCGAGGGCTTGGCCCCTCCCACCCGAGGGGGACCCCCAGCCGTCGTGGCCGTCTGAGGCCTGAACCAGCGGGCGACCACCTCTGTCACTCTGCCCTCCAAATACATGGAAATTCTAAGAGGTGGCCTCGGGGCGCCAGCAGGGGGCACTGCGGAGCACTTTCCTAGTTCACTAACAGATCCCCCTCCGTCACCATCTCTTTCCCTCTCTGCGGGCAGCGTCTGAGGCCAAGGTGCAGGCCCTGCGGTCAGCTCCCAGGGCTGCTGCTGGTTCCCCACCTCTTGGTCTGCAGCCAGCTGGAACTGCAGCCTCGAACCTGCTGGCCAGCTCCTGGCTGCCTCGCCCAGCTCCCCGGCCCCCGCCTCTGGCCCCCGCCTCCAGTGACCTTTCCTGAAAATAACCTGTCCAGGGTGGGGCCGTGGGGGGACTGAGGCCCACAAGGTCCAGGAGTGGCCGAGCCCAGCGTCCCAGCTCGGCCTCTCGCCCTTCCCCCCCCCCCCACCCCGGTCCTCCCATCCAGTTTCTCTCTGTGCGCGGAAGGCAGACACATTCATATTAAGGGGATTTCGCCAAGGCCGCCAGGCACCTGGCCCAAAAGTGCTGAACACTGGGTCTGTCGCCAGCCAGGGGTGGCCTGGAGCCAGCGCATGCTGCCACCAGGGGGCGGCAAAACACCGCGAGTGCCCGGCCGGCCAGGGCTGTGCCTGGGTGTCCACTCCCCCTGCCCTGCCGGCCAGCTGTGGGCGTGGCCCCCTCCGCCTGCTTCGGCGGATGTCACCGTCTTGGTCTATTTTACTACACAAATGTTCAGAGTAGTGAAGCAGTGGACAAAACAGCCCGAGGCCCCGGGGGTCTGAGCGCACGTCAGCTCCGATTCCTGCTTCTGTCCCAACAGAGTGACTGCAGCTTTGTCACCAGGGCACGGAGTCTGCTGTGCCTGGGGGACAGCCTGCCGGGTGCTGCACGGCACTTCCTGGGGCTCCCCAAGCCTCCAGCAGGCGGACGGTGCGCCCTGGGGCTCCCCAAGCCTCCTTCAGGTGGACGATGCGTCCTGGGGCTCCCCGAGCCTCCGGCAGGCAGACGGTGCGTCCTGGGGCTCCCCTGCTTGCTTGGTGGGTGCACAGCACTTCCTGAGGCTCCCCAAGCCCTGGCAGGTGGACGGCATGTCCTGGGGCTCCCTGAGCCTCTAACAGATGGGCAGTGCATCCTGGGGCTCCCCGAGTCTCCAGCAGATGGACAGTGCGTCCTGGGGCTCCCGTTTGCCTGGCGGGTGGACGGCATGTCCTGGGGCTCCCCGAGTCTCCAGCAGGTGGACAGTGTGTCCTGGGGTTCCCTGCTCGCCTGGAGGGTGGACGCCGTGCCCTGGGGCTCCCGCTCACCCTCAGCGTGGGGACGCTCCCCGTGGTGTCCCAGGGCCAGACAGTGGGGTTATCCACCTCTCTCGCCTCCTCCCAGGGCTCCCTGGGCCCAGGGCCAAAGCTGTGAGAGGCGCAGCCTCCACCACGCGGTCACTCACTCAAGACGCCAGTGCCGACGGTGCTGGCCACCGCGCCATCGGTGCCCGTG